CCCAGAGGTGCAGAGAAACTTCAAGGGCCAGATTCTAATGCCCAACATTGGTTAAAAGCAACAAGAGAACTAAGCACATGCTGCCTAGCGGCTTCTGGAAGTTTCTGGTCCACAGTGTCAAGGAGCTGGAAGTGCTGTTGATGTGCAAGAAATCTTACTCTGCTGAGATTGCGCACAATGCTTCCTCTAAGAACTGAAAAGCCACAGCAGAAAGAACAGCATAGCTGGCCATCAGTCACCAATCCCAACCCCAGGCTGTTCAGAGAAGAAGAGTAGATTGTTTGCCTGCATGTTTTGTGTTTAAATAAAACCACACACACACACACACACACACACACACACACACACACACACACACAGCTGGGCAGGGCAGAGCACTGTTGTGACCCCAGCACCGGGGAGCAGACAGACAGATTCTAAGAGCTTACTGTTCTTACTCGCACAGCCAAGTACAACCATGCGTGCGTGTGTACACGTACACACACATTCACACGAGCATATACACAGGCATTGCCCCAATAATTTTCAAAAGCTTCCATTATTCATGTTGCCACTCACCTGTCATTAGTAGTTGATTTCCCTTTGCTCATTATACAAGTAGAAAAAAATTTTCAGACACCAACCTATTAACCTTTTTAGCAAGCATTAATCTGTTATTCTAAATTTAATTATCACCCAGTCTCAACAAGCCCCCCCCCCACGCTTATGCTTATGCTGTGGAAAAGGAGTTATAGAAGTGCATGTATACTTAAAGGGCTTGGAAATAGTTTGTGTTACTTACCAGGCACTTCTCTAGTGAGAACAAGATAGAAATTATCTACGTTGTGTAGAAATAATTTTAATTTGAATAAAGAGACCTTTATTATCCTAGAAAAAGCTACCTATAAAGGTTTGTAGGTCAACATCTTGTAACAGCACAGCTAATGATCTAATTTTAAAGTAGTCCCCTTCCCTAAAGTTTGAAGAAAATGTCAAAGTTTTATTTTGTAATGATCTTCCTCCAACTGCCCCCCTCCCAAAACAAACAAACAAAAACCTCATGCACTTACTCTGGTGTCAGAACACCATCATTATACATACGGTCCCCTAAAAGACTGAGTAACAATCTGCCTGGGAGAGTAATACAAAACAATTGAGAACTCTATAACATTCAACAAACTATTTAGCAAACATAAAAAAATCTGTGTTGCTATGTATGGTGCCTGAGCACACCTTTAATCAGCATTAGGAAAGGAGGAGGCAGGCAGTTTTCTGTGAGTTCCAGACCAGCCAAGGCTACCTGATGAGATAATTGTCAAAAAAAAAAAAAAAAAAAAAAAAAGTAAAAGTAGAAGGTGCAGACAATGACTTTACTTGGATAAAGGAATTTAAGATGAACTAGGAGAAACAATTTGTGGCATGCAGAACTCAAAAGTCTGATTGTGACAAAGGATGGAGAACAGAAAGAAGAGGAAGGAGAACATTAGAAAAGAAAGAAAATGCACCTGGGGGTTAGAGAACAAAAATCAATAGAAAAGGAAGAAGAGAAATGATTAGGAATAAAGATAAATAAAGGGGCAGGTTGGAGAGACCCAGAAGCTGGATTTTCTGTGATACACTAAAGAGCTTGGATTTTATTCCAGTATCCTTTTTTCCCTTCCTTCCTTTTGTTTTTTGCCTTGAACTCCCTATGTTGCTGAGGATGATCCTAAACTCCTGATTCTCTCTCTAGTTTCCAACTGCTGGGATTACAGATACATACTACCATTACCTGCTGTCCTAAATCTTAAATGCCCTCTCCCAAACATGGGTGTGCGCACACATGTGCATGACCAGCAAAAGGAAAATCCTGTGAATAAAGTAAATTGGGGTGGAGAGAGAACATGGAAACCAGGGGGCTTCTATATAAAGTTGCTCCCATTTTCATTTTTTTGGTCATGATCCCCTAGGATGAGGAGTTTAAGGAACTCTAAGGAGGGAGGAAAAAAAAACTACGAGTCATGGATTCTAATGCAGATAATTTGGAAAATTGCTTTTCTGTAAGGAAGTCACCAAACAGAGATGTCCAATAGACAGGTTTAGAATCAAGCTATGGGGCTCAGGACATTTAAACAATATAGAATCCTGAGAAACACAGAAGCTAGGAACAAAGATTAATCAGTGAAAGAGCCAGAGGCTAGGGACCTAACCCGTGGAGAACACCTATCTTAAAGTGTAAGCAAATGAAGAGCTGCAGAAGGGTTCACCACAACCTGAGAAGAATCTGGGACACTGAGCAGAAGAACAGGAAGCAGGGTGTCTGGGTTCCCTGGAGCTTTCAGGGTCCTTTCATCACTTCCTAAGATTCTTTTAGTTACAATTCACTGACTCAAGATCCAGTTAAAAACTACTACTTCAGTGAAGAATTCAAGAGGTGGAGAACATACATTAGTTTTAAGAATTCTTTATTCTGGGGCTTGTCTAGTGTGTACAAGGTCCTGGGTTTAATTTCCAACAACAATCTCTCTCCTCCCCGTCTCTGCCCTCGCACCCTTCTTCATAAGCTCCATTTTGTCACGATGTATCTATCATTCATATGGAAGTGGCACGAGAAGTTTATGATACTCACTGATACCTGGTCTAGACCCCTGCTCCCCAAAAAAGAATATTAGGGTCAAGGTCGACATCAATCATCTTTAGCAAATCGTGGCCTCTCTCAACTGAGTTCCTCATCTGTAGCACAGGGGCGATAGCCAAAGCAGTTAACCTTACAAAGCTTTGATTAAAACTGGTCACAAAAACAAATGCAAATGACTCTAGATTTAAACAAAACAAAACAAAAAATCATGACAATACACCCTTGATTAATTCAAAATACCCACATTAAGTCCATTTGCTTCAAACTTCAATGTACATTAAAAACTATACATTATCCTTAAGAATACAGTCTTGAACCTTACTTTAACAAAAATTAACCTGGATTTTTAAATTCCAGGTGATGTTCACGCAATGGTTCTTTCACGGACTTTGTAGAATGGTGGATAAGTTCAACCTCTTAAAAGATAAAAAAAACTGGGCTAAGGTTGGTAATTCAGTTGGTAGAGTGCTGGGAAATGCCAGATTTGATCCCCAGCATTGTATAAACCGGAAGTAGAAGCATATGACAGTCATCAGAGCTCAGGAGGTAAAGCTGGAAGGACCAAAAATTTATCAGCTGTGGCTACACAGAAAGTTAAGAAACCAGCTTGAGATACATAAGACTCTATATGAAGGAAAAAGAAAAAGGAAAGAGATTGAATGACTGGAGTGTAGCTCAGAACATTTGTTTACTCAGCAAGCTAATTTCTAGCACAAAACGAAAAGGCCAGAGAAGGGGGCTGGAAGGAGAGCTAAGGAAAACACTAGACGGTTCAACACGAGGCAGTAGCAAAGCACAAAAAGAAACTAGTAGAATGCAAAGATAATTTGAGCCAAACTCCAATTTTAGCTATCGTATATTCTGAAATATGGGCACTTTGTGTGCTAAATCTTTATAATAATACTGTAATCCATCCTTTTAACTACTGCTAAAATAATATTTGGTAGTAAAGAACTGTCATAAAAGCACATCTAAATTACTATTTGGAGGACTATAGAGAAGGCATACAAACCATTTTAAAAGAGCAATATAGCTTACTTAGAGACTCCCAAAACTATCTCACAAACTATCTGCTATTATTCAGAGTGTGAATTCAACAGGAAGGGCTAACTTCAAAGATTCACACTAATAGCTTTCTTTTACCTAAGTAATGGTAACTTAACATCCTTGGTTTTCAACAAATGTGCATTTACTTGATGTTCAAGGTATTTTGAACTTAGTTGAAGCGGATAAAATCAAGGAACACTGGTTGAGGTAACTAGACCAATACAGAATTCAGGTTTTGATGGAAATAAGGGTGTTGTGTGGTGTGTGTGTGTGTGTGTGTGTGTGTGTGTGTGTGTGTGTGTGTGTG